AGACGCCGGACTTCAGGAGGGCACGGCCTATGAAGAGACCGCCCTTCCCGTGGTAAAGTCGAAACTCGTTGGAGTAAGAGTCCCACTCCAGGTGAATCCCCTTGGCCATTAGTTGGCTTACGCTTAGTAGGTTGTATCCCAGGTTGTCGACAATGAGGACTTTGTTGAGCTGAAGTATGACGTTCGTCTCCATGGATTGTAACTGAACCACGCCTTGTCTGTTTGTCTTCAGGTTTTCGTTGTTGGCGACGGTGATGATGACGTCGCGGTTGAGGCGTTTCTCCTGTTGCACGAAGCGTCCCGAAGAGCACATGTGTTGACCGCAGCAGCTGTCCAAGAACCAGGTGTTTCGCCCGGTGGGTTTGGCGTTGGCGACCGCAGCATATGTTCGATTGACTTGAAGTCCTTGTGAGCGCGGTGGTGGGAGCTCCTCTTCATCTGGCGCGTAAGTTGGTGGTGATCCTGGTGTGCAGTTGTCGATGTGTACCATGCAGTTAATAATGTTTGGTGTCTGTTGTGCAGATGTTGAAGAGTGCCTTGGGGGACTTTCTTGAGTGGAAGCGACTTGTGGGTCTGCTGGACGGTAAACGCGAGGGCGGTTGCAGTTGATCTTGGAGTGTCCGGAAGTCTGGCAGTTGTGGCAGAACGGCGGCACGAAGGTGAGTCCCCTGTTGTCGCGTTCTTCCTTGCCGCGTCGATTGTAGTTGTTGTCGTTCCTTCGTTGAGTGTAGAAGACTAACTGCTGCTGTTTCCTTGGTTGTCTTTCTTCGAACAGGTCCATCTCCTGTTGTTCAGCGTGAAGCTCGGCGCAGAGGTGCATCTCCGAAATCCTTCTGTGGGCGCGAAGAAGCGATCGTGTGGTTCTCCATTCTGGCCCGAGCCCGGCGAGGACAAGTGTCACGAAGCTTTCTTCAGTGATTGTTCCTCCGCACCGAAGCAGGCGGTCGCGGAGGGTCTGGCAGCGACTCATATACTGCATCGCCTTTTCCCCGGTCTTCATTTGTTTTGTTGTCAGTTGTTGCATAAGTCTGCTTTGTGTCACGCTGTCGTTGCTTGGTAGAGGCACTTGAGATGATGCCATGCGAGCTCCGCGGAGTTTCCATAGCTCCTGTATGTTCTGATGCTCTGCTGCTCTTGTGGTGACAGGTTTCTCAGGAGAACCGTATACGCCAGAAGCGACTGATACGTGAAGATTTCCTGTTCCTTTCCAGTGCCGTTGCTTGGGAATGGCAGGGACCCGTTGAAGTATCCCAGAAGATGCGCAGCCTCCATCAGCAGCTCGAACTCGAAGCTCCAGGTAAAGAAGTCGTGTCCGTTGAACGGTGAGGATGTCTGCAGTTTAATTACGTGTGAATACTGCGCCTGGAGACTTAGAATCTCGTTTGGTGTTTGTTGTGATGCAGCTGCTGTTGGTTGGGCACGGGGCGGCATGAAATCGAACGTCCCCGTTGAAGAGTGATAAGGCGCAAAGGTAGGCGCTTGATTGTGTCGCCCAAACGATGAGTTGTCGAGGCTCATCGGTGCTAATCCCATGTTTCCTCCATTGCTCTGTGTCGAATGCGCAGGTGTCCTTGTCTGCTGCTGCTGGTCGAAGTGCGACATGAAGCTGAAGAATCTTTCCATAAGGTTGGGGTCCACGCTTGAAGAGGGAGATGGAGTTACCATCTCTGGTACCCTTGCTGTTGTTTCTTGAGCAGTCCCGGTCTCTGTCTGCAGTCCTGAGGTGTGCAGACCAGAGTTGCCGTGTTGAGTTTCTTGGCCGCTGGGTGAGCCCGTAGAGACTTTCTTGCCCTTGCTGTCCATGTCTTGTAATCAATGAAGTTGTTGAATTTGAGTTGAGTTGCAGTTTGTTGATGAAGCGCAGTTGCTGGGAGTTTGGTCTCTGACCAGCTCTCATACCATGTTGGGCTGAGAAATGCCCTTAGGATCTTTTCAGAGACTAAGTCCCAGTTGAAGATTAAGACTTGAGTAGTGCAGCGGAAGTTGAGGCAGTTGAACCCTTGTACTAGTATATGAGAACAAGTGATTAATTAAAGAAACAAGCATACAGCAATATATAGAAGATAAGAAAGCAGTTGTAGAGTACAGTTACAGAAACGGTTTATCGAGTCGCACAGCGACTCGATTGCCGCTTCGGTTACCATCCGTGATGTTGTAACGGTCAGTCGCAACCTCCAGTTGCGACCTTTCGAGTCTTTTCGCATTCTTTGTCCGTCCCCTCATGTAACCTCCGTTGACTCGCGTGCTCCCCTGTAGTCTTCCTCGAGTGTAGTGTTACACTTCAGAAACGCTTAAGTCCTTTGAGATATTTCCAACAGTTAGGATCCTGATTGTGTACTCTCTATTATATATGCTTGTCAGACTGGCCTTGTGGCCTTACCTCCAGTGGCTGGACTAGTAGTGCCACCCTGGCTTGCTTCAGTTTTGGTTGTATTCTTGCTGACTGGTCTCCAGACCCCTGCCTCAGTGGTTGGACTAGTAGTGCCGCCCTGAGCTGTTTGCTTCTTGTTTAGTTTCACCCCTTGTGTAGCCTAGGGGGTGTGTCAACTTATACATATTATCTATGTAGAAGTTATAGGCTAGACTGAGGTATGCTTCTAGTGAGTACAACCAACTAGTATTTGTTCTAGGTTTCCACTTCTAGTCATTATTCTTAGAAACTTAGGACTCAAGGTTCTTAAACTTAGGAGGCTAGGTTGGCTAGAATACTAGGAAGAAGGCCGCCATGGAATGGCGTGAGGAAAACGGATCTAGGAAGGGAGAGAATGTCGAGAAGAAAAGTATTTGATTAGGAAGAGAGAGGAGTACAAGAAGGGGTTTGTACCCTCTACAGAAAGGTTCAGTAACAACCTACCAAGCCTATATTAAATTATAACTTATATATTTTTAACACACCCCCTAGGCTTGGTAGTGTCAAGCCCACGCACACCCCCACACCCACACCCACACCCACACCCCCTAGCCCAGCACCCCCATTCCCAGCAGCAGCCGAAACGACTCCGGAAGAGGGTAGGTCTCACGGCCCCTTGAGACGGCAATGGCGGCAGCAGCGACAGTGACGACAGCGGCGGCGGCGGCAGTGTACGGCGGCTCCAGGCCTGCGGCAACAGCGGCGGCGCCGGGGGCTCGAACGACAGAGGCTGGTGCGGCGGCCCCCGCCCTCTCGGCGGCATGTCCTGTCTCCTCGGCGGTGGAGAGGTCCCTCACATGGCAGTCATCGGCTGCAGCAAGAAAGGGGGGGATGCAGGGGAAGCAGGTGCAGGTGGGGGGGGAGGGGAGGGGGCGGGGCGAGGCGAGTCTTCAGCGACGCGCCATAAATGGCGCGGCGCTTACTGGCGGGAGGACATCGTCCTGAGGGACGCCCGTCTGTGGCGAGCGGGCGGCAGGCCCGGCGACGCCACAGACGTCGCTCGGCCGGCCGCAGCCCGACGATGCCGTCGGCTGCCGCAGACGCCGCCACAGCGCACCGTCAATGTCGCAGCGGCGAGGCGGACGGGCGACGGCTGCACCAAGGGGCCGTCGCGACACCTTGGCGCCGCGACGGTAGGCAACGAGGGACCGTCGCGACATCTTGGTGCCGCGACGGCAGGCAACAAGGGGCCGTCGCGACATCCTAGCGCCGCGACGGCAGGCAACAAGGGGCCGTCGCGACAACTTAGTGCCGCGACGGCAGGCAGGCAGAAAACCGCGAAGGCTGCGAATGCAGTAGGAGTACGCAACGGGAACGTAGGGAGAGGGTCCGGTGGACACGACCAGCCCTGATACCATCTTAGAAACTTAGGACTCAAGGTTCTTAAACTTACCGTAATCCCCCGTATATAACACCCGCCGAAATAGTCACTCCGCGGGTGGTTTATGCGGGGGAGAGCTTATGATAGGGTGAATTTAGGAGAGCACCCGCTTTTCGGGGGTTGCATTTTACATAACACCCTCCTCGTTTTATGCAGCAAAGAACAGTATTTCGTAGTTTTTCAAGCTCAGCTCGATTGAAAAAAAAAAACGAACAGGATGAAAAACGCAATGTCAACTACCATTAGCAGCGAAAAAACGGGCAGAAACATCAACACAAGTTGCACCGCGAAATGGAAATGTCAGCAAAGGTCAAGACTCGGGAGGATTTCGACCGTCGAATTCGCGGATTCTGTTGTGATTTGACGGTCAGAATCCTCCCGAGCGAAATCCTCCCGTCGAAGTCGCGGATTCTGTCGCGATCATGACGGTCGCAGGTGCCGCACAAACCTGGCCCTGACTATAGCACTCAGCAGGGATTGGCCAACGACGATTGGTTTGTGAGTTTCGTCGTAGCGGATGCTGTACCTCGCTAACAGTCGCTCCGCGCAGTTTTGAACACACATGGCCTAAAACACTCAAATTCAAATTGCATTTTACATAACACATGGGCACTATATTTTTCCGGGCCACTGTTAACACCCAGTCATTTTTTTAGTGAATTTTTATATACACCATAGGGTGTTATATACGGGGGATTACGGTAGGAGGCTAGGTTGGTTAGAATACTAGGAAGAAGGCCGCCATGGAATGGCGTGAGGAAAACGGATCTAGGAAGGGAGAGAATGTCGAGAAGAAAAGTATTTGATTAGGAAGAGAGAGGAGTACAAGAAGGGGTTTGTACCCTCTACAGAAAGGTTCAGTAACAACCTACCAAGCCTATATTAAATTATAACTTATATAATTTTAACAATTATTCGTTCTCACTTTGACACATAGGCCACCAACCAACCCTGACTGCTACACATTTTTTTGGGGGGCCGCCCTGATTGGTCAGGATGCCTAAAATCCTATCTGAGGCCCTGGCTCTGATCTGACCGTCAGGGTATTGTTTTTTCCTACTCTGATTTCAAAGAGTGGCCCAAAACCGATTTTGGGCCCTGCCTGAAACGGCCTGCTGACGTAATCATTCAGACGAGCGCTATTCGAATGACGTCATTCTACGGATGCTAACTACAGTGTAACTCGACATTATCTATCAGAACTACTTACAGAAATGCTCAAGACTCTGTCACAACAAGAACAAGGTAAATATAGGGTTTGGGTTGTACCGTACTCTCTAAGAACACACACCTATTCTAGCCTATAACTTCTACCGTACATGCAAATGTATGTATAAGTTGACAACACGCCTTCGACCCATCCGTGTGCCTCTCCACAGTGCCACCGGGTAGCACGCACTCAACCAGACGACCACATTGTGGCTGCCTGCCATGTGGGTGTCGTTCTGCCCATGTGCCTCATGCCCACCGCACCCAACACCAGTGTTGCTTCACAACCGTACAGAACCGCCATCCAGTCATGAAAGAGATACAACAGTCAATCACAGCAACCGAGCCCCCAACCTAGCTGCTCCATTTGCACACCTCCCATTGCGTCTCCACTCATGCTCAACCTCTCTTCCCTCCCATCCCATCACCTCTCCTCATCCCTCCCCACCCCACTGTCCTCATCCTCCCCCCCCAAACCCCCCCCCCTCCCCTTATCACCGCTGCACCACCACGGAATTGACCAGGCCCGCGTCTGCGATCGTCTGGCTCTCATCCTCCAGCCGCTTGGGCGGGAACCCCATCGTCTGCAGTGCGTACCGCCGCTCGCCGCCGCCGACCAGGCGCGCGGCGTCGATGAAGGCGCGGATGTGTGCGACGGTGTGCGCGTGGTTGAAGCGCGCCACGAGGCGCGTGCCGTCCAGCAGCCGCACCTGGATAGACGTCACCGGCTGCTCCTCGTCCACCTGCAAGCCTGCAGGGGGGAGGGGCGGAGAGGTGGTTGACGGTGAGTGGGTGAGGATAGTGAGGGGGGGAAATGAGACGAGGCGAGGTGCTGCGTGGCATGTGGGGGGCGGTGGGGGGTGGAGGGCAGTGGCCAAGTGCGGTGTAGTGGGTAGCAAAGCTCACTGACAAGTGGCGGGCCAGCACGGGGTGGTGGCAAGGCAGATGCGAGGCAGTTCACGGCGACAATGACGTGCTGGGGGAGACTCGAAGCAATCAATAGTGCACCAATGAAACAACGCAGCTGTGCTGCCACAGTACATGCAGCGACATATAGAGTGCGGGAAGGAAGCAAGCATGGAGCGGAGATGAGAGCGGACAGCGCAAGTGGGGAGGGTGAGAGTGCGAGCAGGCGGGAGAAGGGCAGGAAGCCTCTCACCCCCAGTGGGGCCCTGCGGATTGGCGGGCCCAGCCGCAGCAGGTGCCGCAGCAGCAGCAGCAGCAGGCGGTGGCTGTGTGTCGGGCATGGCAGCTTCCCCCAGCGTGCGACCCTGGCCTGAGAAGGCCACATACTTGGGCTCTGGGGGGGGCTGGCGGGGGGAGACAGGGAGGGCGTGGGAGCACAAGGGATGCGAAAGCAGACCACTGTCATGCTCCCACACCTCTCATGCCCATACCTCGAGGGACATTTACTGTAACTGTCGACACTGTAAGAATAGAGCAGTTGCAATGCCAAATGCATGTACTACCGCCCACACCTCCCATGTACCCCCCGTTCCTCTTCCCACTTCCCCCATCTCCCTCATCCCTCCTCCCACCCCCGACCTCCTCAACCCGTCCCCACCTACCCCCCTCCTCCCCCCCCCCACCGTCCACTGGTCGTTGACGCGCAGCAGGTTGAGCTCCACGTCCTCGTTGGGGTCCGCGCTCTGCAGCTCGCGCGGACACTCTCCGCGCTCCAGGATGCTCTGGGGGAGAAGGAGGCAGCCAGAGCGAGGACGCAGTGAGGGCGGGGACGGGGAGGGGGGGTTACAGAAATGGGGAGTTTGCATGGTGGAAGGGCAGGGGATGCAGTTCGTTAAAAGGTGGGGACGGGGGTGTGTTTAGGGGGCAGGTGAGTGCAGGTGAGTGGGGGCACGTTGGGGAAGGGGGAAGGAAGAGGAAAGGAGCTGTGGGCTCTGAATGGCAGCCCGGACGACGAGCAGTGTGTGTGTGGGTGGTAGGAGCATTCCGTAGGAAGAGGGAGCGAGGCCAGGCTTTGGGATGGGAGTATGACACAGTTGGAGTATATACAGGAGTGGAGTTTGGGAATGAAGCGGGAGGTGTTGGGAAGGAGAGATAGGAGGTTGAAAGGCGTTGTGCACAGGTGGGGCAGAGGGAAAAGGGCGGGTGGTGTTAAGGGGGCGACAGAGGCAGTGCAGGTGCGGAGTGGAGCGCGAGTGGTGAGCGCTTGTGCACCTTGAGGAAGGCGGCGTTGGCGGGGTCCTGCAGCTGCCGCAGCGGCCCCTCGTCCACTGTGAACCCGTTCAGGTAGAACGTCACTGTGTGCCGCACCACACGCCGCCCGCCCTCCTCCGCTCCCTCGCCCCCACCCGCCCCTTGCCCCTGCCCAGTCGCCCCTTCCGCCTCCCCGCCCGTTCCCCCAAGCGTCCTCCCCACTCCGCTGAAAGCGCCTCCGCCTCTCCGCCCGCCCCCGCCACCGCCTCCCCCCCCGTCGAGATCCGCGGAGGTGCCCTGGCGCGCGCCCTGCTGCTGCGCGCGCGCGAAGATGTCGTCCATGTCGAGCGCGCCCGCGCCGGGGGGGCCCAGCGAGCCCAGTCCGCCCTGCCCCCTGCGCTTATTGGGATCCTGCACCGCTATTCCGCTGATGGTGGGGAGGGGGAGGGGAGGGGCGGGTAGGAGGGAAAGCGGTGAGGCGGTGTGCGCGTGGGTGGAGGGGGGGAAGGACGCGAGGGATTGCGAAGGACGATCCAGGAGAGAAGCAGATGAGCAATGCAACGAGGATTGCACGGACGTCAAACGAGCAAGGAGCGCTGCGGGGGAGGGCGGAGGGGGAAAGGGGGGGAGGGGTTGCGAGCGAAGTAGGGCACGGGGAGGGAGGGAGGGGTGACGGGGGGGGGATGCACGATGTGGGCGAGGCTGGAAGCAGCGAGGTGGACGGCAGGCAGGGCCGCCTCACCTTTTCTCCCCCCCAGCGTAGTACTCCTCCCTGTCGTCATCATCATCATCCTCATCGTAGTCCTCATCCTCCTCGTCCTCTTCCTCGTCCCTGCGCCTCCCAATATCCCCCAGAGTCCGGATCCGCCCACCTCCCCCTCCCCCGCCACGCCCCGATCTCTTACTCCCCTTCCCCTTCCCCACTCCCCCCACGAATCTCCCCATTGCGCCCGCACCCCCCGCCGCCCCGGACGGTCCCGCAACGGGCGCAGTCACCCGCGGCTGCCGCTGCTGCACCTCCTCGCCGCCCTCCTCCGCGCCTCCCGCGGAGAACATCGCCTGTGACGTCATCGCGGGGCCCGATGCGCCACCTACAGCCGCCCCGCCCGCACGCGCCGCAGCCGCCGCCGCAGCAGCAGCACGCGGATCCCGCGGCGGCGCGGCCGGGACGGCGGCGGCGACGCCTCGACTGCCGGTGTCGTCGCCGTCGTCCCCCGTGGCACCGCCGGCCGCGGCGGCGGCGGCGGCGGCGGCGGCGTCCCCGCCGTGGTCGTAGAAGGCGGAGATGGCGGCGTCGAGCGCGCCGGCGCTGCTGTCGAGGAAGAACTGCGCCTGGTCGGGCGACGCGCCCGTGATGGCGCAGAAGCTGGAGACGAGATCGTCGTCGGGCGCCGCGGACGACGACATGGCGTTGGGCGCAGAACTGGCGCGGGGGAGGGGGAAAGAGGGGGGGAGATAAGGGGAAAGAGACGGGGGAAGAGACGGGGGAAGAGACGGGGGAAGAGACGGGGGAAGAGGCGCGAGACGGGGGAGAAGGGAGAGCTGGGAGAGAGGTTAGCAAGGCAGGCCCGCTATTGCGGGCGAGAGGCCTGTCTGGAGAGCGGGGAGAAACGAGAAGCAGCGCGCGCGACGAAGCGAGGACAGGAGTCGGAGCCGAATGATAGCGGGTTGAGGGTCAGGCTCTAGGGGTGCAACGCGGCAGAGGTGGAGCAACCGATGGGAAGCGCGAGATTGAAGAGATGCGGGGCGCCGGCTCGGATGTCAGCGGATCTCATCACCCGCCACACCCTGTGCGCTCCAAATTGGCCGCGCAAAATTCACACAGCAGATTTGTGGGCAGCAGCGGCGCGGTAGTCGCCCAGTGCCTGTGGCGCATCGAAGGGACGTGCGGACTGACGGCATGCGGCACGGCGCTAGGCTGCTGGTTATCAAGAAACCAAGCAAGAGCGCGAGGCGAATCGGTGGGCAGGGCGAGCGCGGCACCGGCGCGCGAGCACACGCATGGGGAGGCGCAAACGTACCTGAGGGGTACTCAACTCGCGGCTAGTGAATCCGGTGCCCAACCGACTGCAGAGACGCAGATCGGTCGTGTGGCCTCAGGAAGAAGGGAAAGGGAGGACGATATGGCGGGACGACCGGCGAGCTGGGGAATTTGAAGCCCGGCTGAGAGGCGCAAGCAGAAGAAAGATGGGAACTGTCCAGCACGACCCAGATCCTCATGCGCCGTTCCTGGCATGCAGGGGAGCGCACTGCTGCTGCTGCTGCTGCCTTGCCTTGCCTTCACTGCCTGCAACCCGAAACCGTTGCCTCGATTCGGCCGACCAGCATGGAGGGGGAAAGGAGTGGGAAGAGATTGACGCGCTATAGAGCTTTGTGGGCCGACAGAGTTCATAACACTGTAGGTTCTGACGCTTGTTTTGAAGACTTCTTGTCATAGGAATGCAGCGCTAATCTAAAGATGTGAGGTAGGCATCATTCAATTCAACCCATAGGCTAGAAAGCTGTACACTAAGGAAAAATAAAACACAAGACGTAACAGTGTAGCACACCGCAACGGCAGCACCTCCATGCAACCTCAGGCAGTTTGAATTTGAATGGACCATGAGAGAAGTGCCATGGCATTGGTGCGCGCGCGCAGTGCACACTGGCGCACATGGGCATGGCATGGCATGGCATGGCGTCACATCATGTGCCAGTCCATGGCGGGCATGCCGTAGTAGTGCCTGAGGTGCGCGATGGCCCCGTTGGGCGCCATGGCGTGGTCGATGAGCGTGAGGCGCCGCAGGTCCTCCTCTATGCGCACGCGCTGCCGCTCCCCCACCTGCTGCTTCTCCCACGCCACGTGCTGCACGCGCAGCCACGCACGGCAAAGGGGACAAGGCAAGGAGGAGAGGGGATGGAGAATAGGTGAATGGAAGACAGTGGGGGGATGCATGAGGGCGGAGGGGGGGGGAAGGAGGTGACATGGCAGGGAAGCAGACACTGCTCATGGATGCCACGCCATTACATGCACCCACTAACAGCGTCCTCTGCCCCTGTGCGCCCCCCTGTGCGCCCCCCTGTGCGCCCCCCTGTGCGCCCACCTCACCTCCGCCAGCATCTTCATCTCCTCCGCCTGCCGCCCCGCCACCTCCTTCCACCTCCGCGCCCTCTGCCACTCCGCCATCCCCACTCCCCGTTCCCCTCCCCCTCCCCCTCCCCCTCCACCTACTTTCTTCCCCCCGCCCTCCCCCCCTGTCCCTGCGCCACCCCCCTGCGGCCTCTCCTCCATCACAGTCAACCGCCAGCGCCACCTCCCCCCGCCACCCCCCTCCCCACTTCCCCCGCCTGTCTCCCCCCCCCCCGCGCCCTCCCCAGCAGCGTCCGTGACCCTAAAGCCCGGGAGGGCGGGCGCCGAGGAACATGGGGCGCCGTGCCAGGCAGCGGCGGAGGCGGCGGCGGGCGCGGGTTGGGAGAGCGCGGCAGCATGCAGCGCAGAGGGGAAGACGAAGGCGCCGTCGAACATGTCGGCACGCGCCTTGCACGCGCGCACGGGGCGGGGGCCAGCGCCGACGATCAAGAGCGACTCGCTCAGATCCGCGAGCATCTGGCGGGGCGGGGAGCGCGGGGGGAGGGCGGAGCGGCGCGGGAGATAGAGAGTGAGGAAGGGGAGATGGTAGAGTGGTGCCTCGCTAGGCGGAGTCGAGAGTATGATGGGCACAACGAATGAGACAGTGGACAGGAGAACGTGGCAGCGACGGGGTACGCAGGACGCAGCGAGGGGGCGGGCGACAGCGACGAGCGACGGGCGGGTGCGACCTTGGCGGCGACGTCTCGCGAGTGCAGCTCGACGATGGCGCAGCCGGACGAGCGGCGCGGGAGGAGCAGGTTGGGCACGAGCTGCACGGAGCGCACGGCGCCGAACTGCCCCAGCGCGCTCTGCAGCACGGCGGGCGTCACGGCGGGGCACAGCTCGTCCACGAAGATGCTCCGCGCCACGCGCTCCGCAAACGACGCCTCGCGCTCCACCTCCGCGCCCGCGCCTGCAGGCTCTCCCCGCTCCGCCACCTCCCGCGCTCCGCCGTCCCTCTCGGGCGACAAGTGGGCGCGATTGGCGGCGGGGAGGGCGTAGGACGATGGCATGGCGCGCGGGAAAGGGGGGGAAGGCGTGCAGACGGAGGGCGAGACGGGAGAGGTAGGTAGAACGAGCACTGTGAGACTAAAGAGGCATGCAGGTTCGAGCGAATGTGGTTGCGTTATGCGCGCTGATCACTTGTCCACGCCACTCCAAGCCACTACTAGAGCCTGTGGAAGGATATGGGGGAGAGCACCGTAGCTCCAAATGCACACCTTACTGCTCTTCTCGTTCCGCTATAACCAAAGTTTCTTATTTTTGGGTTGCGTGGCAACCCTATAGATTTGGTACGACATTTTGGGGCACTGATCTGAAAACGTGGATTTTTTGTGGGTTCTCTAAAAACGCGCTTTATTTTGTTTTATACTAAATATATTATTACCATTTTTATGTAATGGTGTTTTGGGGCACCAAAAATTGATACTCAAGACTTCTTAAAAAAAAAACCAATTGAATATTTAAAGCCAGTCTTTGTATGTCTCTTTTTCTAGTAGTCATATTTAATATCATTATACCATGCCTAATATTATTCATAATATTGAGAGTGAATTTTATTTCCCAACCATTTCATTTTATTTTACGGTGAGAAATAACAAAACACTTCATTGCACTGATATTAAAAAGACACAAGAGGTGTTAATGTCAAACATTAGTATATCTAGTGTTAGTATAGACTGTATAGGGTCACCTCATAGAGAGTACAACCCTTAGATATATATGCTTGTACCCAGATTCTCTAATCAATTCATTACTCAGTTCTAAGATGGTATCAGCAGTAGGTAGGTCCCGCCGCCCGCCCATGCTTCCGCCCTAGGCCCTAGCCGCCACCGCGCCCGTCCTAGTCGACCCCGCACCCGTCCTAGCCGCGCCCGCGCGCTCGTCCTAGCTGCGCCCGCTGCGCCCGTCCTAGCTGGCCCCTGCGCCCGTCCTCACGGCCCTCGCGCCCGTCCTAGCTGGCACCGCGCCCGTCCTAACGGCCCCCGCGCCCGTCCTAACGGCCCCCGCGCCCGTCCTAGCTGGCCCAGCGCCCGTCCTAACGGCCCCCGCGCCCGTCCTATCCGGCCCCGCGCCCGTCCTAGCTGGCCCCGCGCCCGTCCTAGCTGGCCCCGTGCCCGTCCTAACGGCTCCCGCACCCGTCCTAGCCAGCCCCGCGCCCGTGCTAGTGGCCCCCGCGGCCGTCCTACCGGCCCCCGCGCCCGTCCTAGTGGCCCCCGCGCCCGTCCTACCGGCCCCCGCGCCCGTCCTAGCCGGCCCTGTGCCCGTCCTAGCGGCCCCCCCGTGCCCGTCCTACCGGCTCCTGCACCCGTCCTAGCCGGCCCCCGCGCTCGTCCTAGCTGGCCCCCGCGCCCGTCCTACAGGCCCCCGCGCCCGTCCTAGTGGCCCCCGCGCCCATCCTACCGGCCCCCACGCCCGTCCTAGCTGGCCCCCGCGCCCGTCCTACAGGCCCCTGCGCCCGTCCTAGCCGGCCCCGCGCCCGTCCCACGCCCGTCCTATCCGGCTCCGTGCCCGTCCCAGGCCCGTCCTAGCCGGCCCCGCGCCCGTCCTACCTGGCCCCCTCGCCTGTCCTTGCTGGCCCGGCGCCCGCCGCTACTGGCCCCCCGCGCCCGTTCTGCCGACCCCTGCGCGCGCCCTGCCCGTCGATCTCCGGCCCCGTGCTCACCTTCCCGCCGGACTGCCGCCGATCTGCGTGCGGCCCGCTCTCCGTACCTGCTACTGCACTGCACCCTCCCTGGTACGGTTCTCCATCACTTTGCACTGCACTGCACCCCCCTGCACCGCACAGCACCACGCTGCACCGCACTGTACTGCTCTGTACCGCGCTGCACCGCACTGTACCGCCCTGCACTGCACTGGACCGCGCTGCACTGCCTCACCTGGCCCTGCCCTGCACTGTTCCTGATGGCGGCAGAGCTTCGCTTCGACGCTGAAGGAAAGCCTCTGGAGTTCGAGGCCTGGTTAGCCGACCTCCGCCACCACCTCACTGGTCAGCGGCAGGATGGCCACCTGCTCTCGGCACACCTTGACGGTACGCTTCCCTGCCCAGACCCCCCTGCTGTGCTACCCGCTGACCCCACACCTGCGGAGCGCGAGTCTACTGCGGCCGTTGCCCTCGCTCGCTCTGTCTGGCTTTCCCCGTGACGCTGTCACCTAGCTTGCCATTAGCAATGCCCTCCCCCCGTTTGAGCGTCCTCGCTTTAGGTCTATCACCACCACCCAGGCTTTCTTAGACGCTGTTATCCGGCGCTATTCCGCCCCGCCTGCTGCCGATGCTCTTTCCTGACCTTGCGTCTTTCCCCACTATCGCTGACCTAGCTGCCCACCTGCGCACGATAGATGAGACCTGGCGCGCTGCCTGCACTGACGCACAGCTTAGAGCCCACCAGCCGCCCCTTACCTCTACCCTCTACCTGCTTGCCACCCGCCTCCCTGACCGCCTTGCCGCTACTCGTGACCGCTTTCTTAGCATTCACCCCGGTGACCTCACCCTCACAGACTTTGTAGACACCCTGACTGTTATTGAGACCCGCCACCGCTCTATCGCCCAGGCGAGCGGTACTGTGCCGATCCCTATCTTTCAGGGTTGTGCCCCCGCTCAGTGCACCTTCTCCGATGGTTCTGCAGCTGTGGCTGAGACCGCCGCTGCAGCGCAGTTCCGTTCGGGGAAGGGCCGCCGCCCCAAGGCTGGGCGCGGCAGAGGTGGTGGGGGTGCCAGTGGAGGTGGTGGTGGAGTCGGGTCGTTTGGTAGTGGAGTGGACGAGGGGACCCTGCCAGATCTAGCTGAGCAGCCGCCCCAGCAGCCGCAGCAGCAGCAGCAGCAGCCGCAGCAGCCGCACCAGCCGCAGCAGCCACCGCAGACGAGGCAGGCGAGTGCCCTCCCGCCCGGGTGGCCTGGCGCTGGTGGTGGTCGTGCGCGTGGTGGTGTGCCGGGTGGCGGTTTCGGGAGGCGTGCACTTCCGTACCAAATCCAGACCGGTCCTCGCCGCGGCTTCGCTTGCGGTAAGATCGGTCACGCCACTGCCTGCTGTTTTCGTCGCCTGGACGACTTGTTTCGTCAGCGCTTCGGCCCGTCGCCCGACCTCCCGGACTGGCACAGTTTGCTGAGTCGTAGAGTTCAGATTTTTGACATGGACATGGATGCCATTGTTTCTGCCCTGCATGTGATGTATGCTGATGACTCTAGTGTGCTCCCCTCTTATTACTCCTTGTCGCCTAGTATAGGTGTGCCTAGCTTAGCCTCCCCTGCTGCGTCAGGCGTAGGAGCTTCTGCTTTGTTTAGCCTTGGTGCTTCCGCCGTCGCCCCGTCGCCAGACGCCACTGCTTCGCGTTCCTTCACCTTGGACTCTGGCGCTTCCCGGTGTTTCTTCCGCGACTCTACTACGCTGACGCTGCTTCCTGTTCCTGCTGCAGTTTCTCTTGCTCATCCCTCCGGCGGTCCCGTCGTCACTCGCAGTTCCACCACCCTTCCCTGTCCGGCGGTTCGGACTCTCTCACAGGTCTGCATATCCCCTCGTTCTCCAGGAACCTAGTTGGTGTCGGCTGCCTTTAGGACCTTGGCGTCAACACTACGTTCCCTGGTCACGAGTGGTATGCTGTCTGTACCGAGGCCACCACTGGTGCCCCCCTGTCCACGTTCCCCCGGGACCGGGTGTCCGGCATGTTCACCCTGGACACCGTGACCCCCCCGGCTGGGGCGCCCCTTCAAGTGGCTGCGTCTACCTAGGTTGCTGCTGCCTGCTCCTGTCGGTCCTTCACTCACCCGACTCTCCTTTGGCACCACCGCCTAGGCCACCCTGCGCTCCCGCGTCTGCGTCACATGTCCCAGCACGGTCTCGTCCTTGGTCTCCCTGATTCTCTCCCCGCTTTTCCCTCCTCCCCCGACCCACCTTGCACGCCTTTTGTCGAGGGTCGACTTCGCCGTGCCCCTCACTCCTCCTCGTTTCCCCCTACCGCCCTGCCGCTGCAGACCCTGCACATGGACGTCTGGGGCCCCGCCCTCGTCCATGGGGCGCGTCGAGAGCGCTACTTCTTCGTGCTTGTCCACGACTTCACTCGCTACACCACAGTCTTTTCCCTGGAGCACAAGGCCGACGTGCCTGATGCTCTCATCCCCTGGCTTGTCTCTGCCCGTGTCCACCGAGGTCTCCATGTCCTGCGTCTTCACTCCGACCGTGGTGGCGAGTTTGCCTCAGGTGTCCTTGGTCGCTTTTGTCGTGCGGAGGGCATCACCCAGACGTTCACCCTGCCAGACTCCCCACAGCAGAATGGGGTCACTGAGCGACGCATCGGTTTGGTCATGGAGGTGGCTTGCACCTCCATGATCCATGCCGTTGCACCCCATTTTCTGTGGCCGTTCGCCGTGCGCTACGCTGCTCACCAGCTTAACCTGTGGCCGCACCCCCAGTAGCCACAGGTTTTGCCGACCCTTCTTTGGACCGGGTCTCCTGGTGACACGTCTGTGTTCCACGTCTGGGGCTGCCTTGCTCACGTTCATGCCTCTGGCACGGACAAGCTCACTGCCCGCACCCTTCCCTGCGTCTTCCTATGTTTCCCCCTTGACGCGTCCGACTGGCACTTCTACCACCCTCACCGGTTCTTTCACTCGCGCGACGTCACCTTTGACGAGTCCGTCTCCTTCTACCGTCGCTTCCCCCACCACGGTCCCCCGGTTACTCCCCCCCTTTTCCTGGTCACTCCTTCCCCGGTGGTCCCTGCCCCCCCCCCTCCCCCTCCCCGTCCTGCCCCCTCTGGTGTGTCCCACGTCACCCCTCTCCCGTTAGTTGCCCCGGTCGAGGAGTCCTCTGACTCTGGTGGTCCTGCGAAGTAGTCCTCGCCGTCTGCCCCTCCCCTGGTGTCTCCTCCCTCACAGCCTCTGCAGCCGCCATCGCCCCTGCTGTCGCAGCCGTCGTCTCTGTTGCCGTCGCCGCCGCACCCGTCGATCCCGCTGCCTCTGCCCCGGTCCTGTACGCTGACAACAGGGCCATGAACTCCTGTGTCAGGAGCCTCGGCTTGAGGGCAGAGCGAAGCATATCCAGCTGCGGTACTTCCTCCTGCGCGAGCTACAGCAGCGCCGCCAGGCCCGCGTAGTTCACTTGGCCTCAGGTGCCAACACAGCTGATATCTTTACTAAGGCACTTGCGCCTAAAGATCATTAGCGGTACTGTGTACAGCTTGGTCTTGTTCCTGTGGCGGCTCCCCTGCTAGGATCCTTATTGTGTACTCTCTATTATATATGCCTGTCAGACTGGCCTTGTGGCCTTACCTCCAGTGGCTGGACTAGTAGTGCCGCCCTGGCTTGCTTTAGTTTTGTCTGTATTCTTGCTGACTGGTCTTTAGACCCCTCCCTCAGTGGTTGGACTAGTAGTGCCGCCCTGAGCTGTTTGCTTCTTGTTTAGCTGCACCCCTTGTCTAGCTTAGGGGGTGTGTCAACTTATACTTATTAGCTATGTAGAAGTTATAGACTAGACTGAGGTATGCTTCTAGTGAGTACAACCAACTAGTATTTGTTCTAGGTTTCCACTTCTAGTACAATCATTCGTTCTCACCTTAACAAGAAGAACCTAAATGGGTTGCACTTATGATCGACCAGATGACCTTCATGTTTGTCGCGGTAAGTATGGATTTTCCAGCCATATGTATTTTCCATTTTCATTAAATACTAACCCAATATCTTTACTTGTGACTGCAGGCGGAACACAGCATGCTGACTGGCAAAGCAAGTTTGCCTCCTGACAGCTCGTCCATTCAGCGAGAGATGGAGAAGAGGAAGAGTCAAATCGAGAATTGGATGAATAAGTGTGGGATTGTCGCTGAGCAAGGTTTCTACGACTTTGGTGTGGTGGACCTGCTGGATTGGCATGCGGATGGATCCGAGTAGTGCAGTAACGGTGTTGGAGAGGTTTGCTGAGTGAATAGGTTTAGGCTTTGTAGTTGGCATTATTATATGTTTATTTGAAATATGCATTATATTATTTCGAATTGTTGTACTAACGATTGTCTAGTATAGTTGAAGCGCTAATAAACATTTGTATTAAAAAAAAATTCAAGATTATTGTACAGCATTAATACGCTCTTTTAAACATTAGCATGTTAATCACTTACAATGCGTACACAAAAAGTGTACACGTTACAATGTGCCCTCGCAACCAATCATCTGCTGTCGCAACTGTGGTTACAAGCACCTTTGGCGAAGGTTTTCCAACCCATCGCGACTTCGTAGTTTGCCACGGTATTCGCTGGCGCTTGGGAGTAGGTGGCCCACGCGAACCTGCACTCAACCTTCTCGCAGATTCTGTTTGTCGCCAATCGGCAACTGCGGATTGAGTTGCGATTGCTGGAGCACCCTACCCTATCTACCTTACCGCTGTTTCCGTACCTATTCCCCGCAAACACAGCTAACCGTGCGATGAGTGCATGACGAGTGCCACGCTCGCTGTCCCCGTGGAACCGGAGCGAGCCGCTCCGGGAGCGGGGCGAGCCTCGCGCCCGCTGCCATGGGAGTGCACGGAACTGCAGCGAGAGCTGTGCTCGCCTCCATGAGTGCGCGACGAGCGCCGCGCTCGCCGCTGTAGAAGTGAAACGAGTGCCGAGATCGCTGCTACCGGAGCGGCGTGAGCGCCGTGCCTGCCGCCACGGGAGCGCGCCATGCCGCCCACCTTCACGGGTGCACGACGAGCATCGTGCTCGACGCCGTGGAAGTGGAGCGAGCGACGCGCCCGCTACAACGGGTGCGCGGCGAACAGGGTGCTAGCACGCCTTGCACAAAGCTATGCGCTGGTACTACTATGGCACGTGCTGGTGCTGGGAGTAATGTCTCTATTCTACTAGTTATACTAGTTACTAAGTGAAAGTCCATGGGCTTACCAGAAGATTTGAAGCTGTGAGAGAGTTGCTAAAAATAATAGTCGAGGTAAATCTGCAGTGATAGATTGAATGTCGAGCTGAAGCGGATTGCAACTATGAATCCAGGCAAGGGGTGTATGCAGGAAACAAGAAACGCATGACACGCATCCAAATCGCGTTTTTCTTGATTCAGAACCCAATTTAGGCTGAAACAAAGTAGCCGGCTTCTCACATAGTTTCTACCAGTTTCAGCATGTGCTGCGACACGTGATCTAACGTGTGACACCTCATACGAAACAGTGCACCTCTGTCCACAATGATTAGGCTCAAAATGACTAGGCAGGGGGTCACGATAGTTGTACTCATTGTAACCACATCCAAGTATGCACATTTGAATATTCGAAACTATAACACAAAGTAAAAAAATGCAAGGCCTCTATGCGCCCAATGCGAATAATATTCACTCTTTATCCAGCCTCGCTTTTGTAAGAAATTAAAAATAGGTGTAGGAGACTAAATATAAAATCTGCAGACACAAGTACTTGAAGTATAAATTAATACTAGAAGTACCTCCAGTAACAGCCAATATTAACAAGTTGTAACACCAGAATCAATATTACAGCCTTGTGATACTTCAAGACTTGAGCAAGGATCTCTGATGGAATGGTAGACTAGTAACAGCGGAAGTCTTAGATCTTGTAAGTGTTGACTAGAATTTATTGAAGAACAAGTTAATAATTGAAGTCATACAAGCTACTCTTATATCTGCTAGAAGTACCTGTTCGGTAATGTACCTGTTTAAAACTACTTACGCTATGGGCTCTAATTGCTACTGAAACGGGCGTAACTGTTCGCGTGACTAAAATGGCCTGTTAGCGTAATCATCTAGACGAGCGCTATTTGCTGACGTCATAAAATCATCCGATAGTGTCATTTCTTGATAAGTCCAAGAAACTCTGTGACAGTAGGTGTGATGGTATTCTGTAGATTTTGTTGTAGCGTTTGTTTGAAAGAAGTAACGAGAGAATTAGTGGTGTTAATGTAGAGTAAGTCGTCGACATAGTTGACAAGTAGGATGTAGTCAGGATAGTCAGTAAGTAGATACATTCCTTGGTCATGTGGAAGTTGACGACACCCGACAGTTAGTAACTGACTGTATAGATACTGCTGCCATAGTTGTGGAGCCTGTTTAATGTCATAGACAGACTTCCTGAGATGGCAGACGCTGGGAGGGTTAGTTTCGTAAGAATGCAGGTACTCAACCAAAATTAATGCGTCGACAGATGCATATAGGAATGCATTGGCGGCGTCGATTTGGCGAAGTCTGAAGTTCCGGCAGGCCGCGATGCAGAGAAGTGCAGAGGAGGATGCGGACACTAGTGTGTCTGCCAACGGGGGCGAAAGTTAGCTTGTAGTCGAGTCCAAAGGTCTGCTCGAAGCCGCAGACGACCCATCGCGCCTTGAAATTTTCAAAGGAACCATCGGCGTTCATCTTTACGCGAAAAACCCATTTGTCGGTAAGTACCTTACTCCCCTTTGTTTCTTTCAGTGTGATTAGATCCCAGGTAACTCTCTTTTCCAGAGTTGCTAACTCCCGGTCCATGGCTTCTCGCCATTTTTCCCTGTGTGGACTTGTGAAAGCTTGGCGAACTGTTTTCGGCTCCAGAATCTTACTGCTGTTTGACTGTACAGCAACTGCGAGTCCCAATACCTGTCCAGTTTCTGTAAAACAAGGACGATTTGAGTTGACACCGGAGAAGTTGTGTTCTGACCCCTGTTCCCCCACAACTTCTTTAGGTGTCACACAGATTGCTGGTTGGGAGACAACGGGCATTGGCTGCTGCTGGCGATCACGTTCGTAATCAAGAACAACATCTCAGACATCTTCAGAGTCTGGTTGGCACGAGGATGTCTGTGGCCGCTTCGGAAGACTCGGCAACTGACTCATCCTGTACACCTGCTTCAGCTTCGTCGATAGCAAAAGCACGCGAGCCTTCGAACAGCCTGGCAGGATTGGCAGCTGCAGCCAGGTGAGCACGAAAAACAGATAAGGTGAGTCATTCATAGAAAGACAATCACGTGCTGATACGATTTGACTCATGTGAAGATCCATAATTTTCCATGCGTAATACTGCTTCTCAATGCCATGATGAATTCCCCTCTTAGCCCTCTTCCGAAAAAATTCTGAGTGCTGCAGTTGGAGGTTGGTATTGGACGATACACTAAAAAGCTCGTAAAAGTTTTGTGTTGCTGACTGTTTTTGTCCACTGCAGGTGTGGCGAAGAAAATTGTGGAAGAGATGTTGTCGACAGCAAGTTGTGCAGAAGAACTGCATGGTCCAAAGCGTAAGTCCAAAAATGAGGTGGAAGTGCTGCCTGAGTCATTAAGACTCCCATCTTCTCTTCTAACGTCCTGTTCATCCACTTAGCTACCCCTATTTGCTGGTGTTGATGTAGCAGAGACCCTCGGTGTTTGATGCCTAGGGTTTGAAGATACTCAGTGAGGTTGTGTTTGTATACTCCCCGATGCCGTCACTCTGAAATTCTTTCAGCTTTTCTTTCGACTCTCACTCAGCCACCGCGAGCCATGCGACGAAGATAGAGAAAGCCATATGACGAGCTGGAATGTTGGCGGTCCAAACGTATCGAGTAGAAGCTTCAATAAAGGAGATCATATAGAGCTCCCCCTTAGGTCCTGCTTCAGGTAGGTTGAGGATGTCGCTGTAGACTTTTTGCATAAGTGTGTATCGTGTTGATCCTGGAAAATGACTTGGAAACGGTTCATGAGGAAGATTGGCACTTGTGCACGTTGTGCAGACTGTTGGTCGGGAAGACGGCTGCATCTCTGTTCCATCAGGTAAGAGTAAACCGTTTTTGTCAAGAACTGATGCTCGTATAGAATGATGAAGTATGCCTTGAGATGGATGACCTAATCGTTGATGCCATATATCCTCTATTGCTTTGTGTCCTGTTGATCGCAGATAAAAATCGGCGCTAGTATAAAAAGAAGAAATGATGAACGGAGAAAGCGTTGGTGATTCATCGAGTTGTCTAGAAACGAAGCGGATAAGAGGTAACTTAGTGGTTTTAACTTCCACGTCCAGAACTACTTGTGGTTTCAAACTTACTCTCCTTGCTTGATTTCTACTTCTGTTGTGTCTACTGTAGGTTGAGCGATGAGAACTCTTGTTTCAGCTTCACTGCTGCTCTGCAGATCGGCTTCTTTTGCTTCAGTGCTGCTGCTGCTGGGTCCCCAAGGTTCTTCAGGTTTGTTATTGAGTTGTGCTAGAGTGTCATACTATTTCCGCCACGTTGACGTATCTTCTTCAACTGTGTTTGTTGGCCAGGAATTAAGAGTTGTTATAACTTCAGCGGCTGTACGAGATCCCGTTGGAACTGTAGTTGCACAGAACTCTATTTCAACCTTTTGATGACCAGTTTATTCAGGATGTTGCCAAGGTCCAAGAGATAACTCTGTTTCAGAATCGCCCGAAGTTCCTTGTGCTTCAAATTGAAGAACGGAGACACCATATTGAGTGACAGCTCTCCCGATGTAAGTATTGGTATCGTTGTGATAAATTTCCTGGTCCATAGTCTCACAATAGCCTTGTGTCCTGATCTTATGTCGCAGGAGTTGAGCCGTTGAAAGAAAATTGAAACCAAGTCCAGCGATGATGAGGACGTTCGTAACGTGTAAGGAAAAACCAATGTCAATAGAATCCAGCACGGCGCTGCCGATGGATCGTGCCATGATTGTTTGTCCATTTGCAACTGTGACAGGTACTGGACATCGAAGAGGACGCTGATGAGTGATGAAAAGCATCTCGGCAGAGCACATGTATTGACCACAACATTTGTCGAGATACCAAATGTTGGGTCCTGCAATAATCCGAGCGAGATTAGCAAACTCGAAACTCCAAGCGTAGAAGTCAGCGCCATTAAAATGTATTGTTGTCTTGATCTGCGGATTTGGAGCCTAAAAAGTAAAAGAAATTTGCTGCTGCGGAAACTGTTGTTGATGTTGCTGTTGCTGCTATGAATGTTGCTGTTGTTGCGGAAACTGTTGTTGCGCTTGTTGCTGTTGTTGCAGAAATTGGAACTGTTGATGTTGAGCAGGTGTAAACGCAAACGAAGAACTGGAGCTTGGAGCGGCTGCAGCTCTTGAATGACTGGAGCCATCAATACTCATACCACTGAAGACCGCTGTTACTGATGCTACTGCTTGTTGCTGTGGTGTTGTAGGTGCAGAGGACGAAGTCTCCGGTGGATGCACAGTAGGCAAACCTTGCTACTGTTGAGGCATCCCAATTGAAGCATATGCAGGTGGAAAATTTCCAACTGCAGAATCACCTGCTTGGCCAGTGAAAGCTGTAGGATTTGTAATACCCGTGGGTCTAGTTGTTGAAGAACCAGATGTCGGAGCTGATGATGGTCCAGTCATTTGTAGATTTAACGATAGTCTTGATTCCATGTAAGAAATTGAAAAGTGGTGCAGGAGACTAAATATACAATCTGCAGACACAAGTACTCGAATTAGAAAGTAATACCATAAACGCCCGGATAGAAGACCCCCATGGAATAGAAGACACTATGTCTTGTATTAAGCGTCTATCTTGTATTCGGCCTCTCCGTTTATAAGACACACATTTTAAGTCAGTATGAGACCCAGGTGACGTACACTCCCTAAAACCTCGGTTAGCGCTTTTTGCCTACCCAAAAAGGGCTCCGTTTATAAGATTTTTTCCCATTTATAAGAAACCCGGACCCCCTGATTTTTTTCCGTTTATAAGAAACTTCACCACTTTCTTGCTCGGTATATGATAAGACATAGGGGTCTTCTATCCGGGCGTTTACGGTAATCAAAGTACCTCTAGTAATAGACAGTACTAACAAGTTGTTATCAAACATATTTGTATATGTTATAATAGACTTTTTAGGTGCATGCTCTTAGAGGGTACAACACTTGCTCAAAATCCACCTTTATGCATCAGTCTAGTTAACATTTCTACTCTGAGATGGTATCATGCGCTAGGTTAGGTCCTCCCCGCC